GAGCTGCGGCTGCTCAGACGGCAGCGGCAGAGCTGAGCAGGGCAGCGATCCCTCCTGGCAGCGACCCCGCTCGGCACCACGCAGGCAAGTCCTGGTGCTGGGCTGCCAGGCTGGCACCCGCTTTCTCTGCGAGGAGGAACATCCTCTCAGCCACTGCTGAGAGTACTGCTCACACAAGTGCCTTTTCCCCTCCTCTCCTACTGCTCACCACAGCCAGGCAGCTCTGAGCGAGACCCTTGGCCTGTGGCTGCCTCTTGCAGCCAGAGCACCGTGAAGTGCTGGACATGGAAACGTGGTGACTGCTCTGGCAGTTCCATGCACAGCACCCTCACGGCCAGGTTTTCATCCAGCTCGCTTTCCATGTGGCCCATCCTGTAGCTGCAGCTGGAGCTGTTGATCCAGGACTGCAATCTTTGCACTGTTCCTTTGGCTGACCAGTGCTCAGCTGAACACCAGCCCAAACCTTTCCCACCCTGCCTGATTCTGTCCTGGCAGCAGCTGTAGGCTGTGAGAGCCGCAGCACAGGGCTGTCCTGCACAGGGAATGGTGCAAAGAAAACTGACTTCTGAGGGGCACGGCCAGGCCTGGCAGGATGCTCAGACATGCCCTGGCTGCTGGCACAGCCCCGGGAGCCAGGACTGAGCTCTGCTTGGCAGCGCAGAGCTTCTTGAATCTGTTGCTCACATCATACTACATGATGGCTTTGGTGTGTTTTTTTTTCTCCAGAATGCAAAATTGAAAACTGTGAGTCCTGTTTCAGTCGAAACTTTTGCACAAAATGTAAGGAAGGTTTGTATTTGCACAAAGGGAGATGTTACGTCACATGCCCCGAAGGCTACGCTGCTGCCAACGGCACCATGGAGTGCAGCAGTCCTGGTAAGCAGCCTCAGGGCCAGCTGTGGGTATTGCTGCAGGAGGGCTTAGGTGATGAACCAAACCCTCATCATACCTGTGCCGAGTGGGTGACAGTACAGCCAGAGCCAGCCCAGCAGGGCAGGGCCCTCTGGAAACCAGCCTGGATGGGGAGCAGCCCCCAGAGTTTGTGAGGTGTGACCCAGAGCTGGGGCAGCTTGGCAAGGAAGGGGCTGCTTGGGAGCTTAGGAAGCTCTGGGGAAACACATTCCCTTCCAGCCTCAGGTGAGGGAGATATGCAGTGGTGTGCAAGGGCTCTGGGAGGGTGACACCCCAGGAATGGGAGTTACTGCTGGGCTCTCTTGTTATCTGGCAGCACAATGTGAAATGAGTGAGTGGGGACCCTGGGGGCCCTGCTCCAAGAAGAGGAAGCTCTGTGGCTTCAAGAAGGGCAACGAAGACCGAACACGGCGGATTCTGCAGGCTCCGTCCGGAGACGTGTCCCTGTGTCCTGCCACCACGGAGGTGCGGCGGTGCACAGTGCAGAAGAACCAGTGCCCCGAAGGTGAGCAGAGCTGGAGTGTCTCACCATCCCTCCCACACCCTGTGTTGGTCTGGTGTGAGCATTCAGCCAGTTGTCCAGTGTCACAAGTGCACTGCACAGCTCCCTAACCCTCTGTGGCTGCAGCTGGGAAGAGTTGTGGGTGGAAGGGGCGCAGACCCAGGTGCACATCTGCATGTTGCTGTGATGGGAGTCATCCTCTCTACCAGAAAGCTTAGGTCTGTTTTTCCCAGGAATTAGAGTGTCTTCAGGATGGACGGTCATCCTCTTATAGGATGGACAAGGATTGCAGCTGGGTTGAGTGTTCTGAGGGAAATGCTTCTGAGCAGCGACTAATAGCACAGGGATTACCCAGCAGGGCAGGGGACGGTGGACACAGTCAACCTGTTCCCTGATGTCTCGCTCTGCCAGAGAGCCTCACACTGCCCCTTTGCTTTACTGCAGGGAAAAGGAAGAAAAAGGAAGAGCAAGGAAAGCAAGATAATGGGAACAGAAATCGGAAGGACACCAAAGACGCGAAGTCTGGCACCAAGAAGAGGAAGAGCAAACAGCGAGGGGCCGTGGCGCCCGCGACGCCTGCCAGCCCTGCCCAGTAGCTGCCCTGTGTCACCTGATGGCAAGACTCCATTGCTGCTATGTATATGAAAGCTTTATTGAACAAAGCACTGCTACACCACACGTACACATGTCCAGAGACAGACATATACTCCAGACTGACCCACAGACCGACAGAGGCCACACACAGGACTCACAGAGGCTGCACACACCGTGTGACCACGGGAAGATGCTGCTGAGGAGTGGGAGCACACACGGAGGGGAAGGCCTCGGCCCAGGGCTCTGTGGGGATACTGCAGGGAGGAGAGGTGGAGCACGAGCCAGCGAAGGACCCAGACGTGAGATCTCATGGCCGAAGGCCTGAGCTGGAGCCCGAGTGTGTGGCCCCAGCACAGCCTCACGCACCAGGGGACAGGCCTGGGCCCTCCCGGCCACTCGCCCCCACCAGGACCCAGACTCACACACGGCAGTGGCCTCCTCCTCTTCCCCCCACCCCTTATTTTGTGTTTTAAGTTGTATGACTTTATCATTGCGAATACATGTCAAAAGTTTGTGGTAAGAGGTCAGTGGCATCTGCCCTGAATCTGCTTCAAAGAATTATTTCAAATTAAAATGAAAACAAAAACCAAAATGACAACCAGCTTCCTGAGTGTGTGGTTCATGCCTTGGCCCCTATGGAGGCTGGTGTCCCACAGGACAGAGACTCATTGGTGGAAGGGGAACTCACCAAAGCTTTGAGAGCATCACAGAAGCTGCTGCCGGCAGCACTGCAGCCACAGCCAGCCGTCCTGCGCGGGACCCAGTGTGCCTGAGGAGCTCCCGCTGCAGGATCCAGCCAACACCAGCAGACTGAGGAAATGAGAGGTCACCACAAACCGCAGGCTGCAGCCACATCATGACCCTGCTCAGACAGTCACAGCTGTGGGACCACCCCGGGCTGGGCACTCGCTGGTCCGGCTGGACACCACCCCAGCACGTGGCAGGAGGGAGGCAGGAGGGAGGGGAAGGCACAGCTCAGGTTCTGCAGAAGAGAAGCAAACTTTACAGTTTGGTAGAAACTACTGGTCTGCATGCCACTGGCTGGAATTTCCTGGATTCTCCTGCTCTGCCAGAGCTGACACCTGGGCAGAGGAACTGGGACAAGGACTGTGTGGGACAGACCTCGCCAGCCCCGTGCAGGGACGTGGGAACACTGCCTGCTCTGCACAGGGAGTTCTGGCTCTCCTGGCAGGGTGACGGGCAGGGGAAAGCTCACCCCAGACTAAACCTGGTGAATCTGATCTCTGCTGTGTTTGCTTCTGTACCACCTTCTCTGCTCCGAGGTTTTGGAGGGCAGAGTGAGACAAGCAGGACAGCCCCTGTCTCTCCGAGGGGTCACCTGCCCACAGCCGCAGCCCTGGTCCTCTCCCACAGCTCACAGCACCTGCCCAGGGCTCGGCACAGGACACCACAGCTCCCTGTCCACTCTGGGGCTGCCTTGGCTTGGTGCAGGACATGGGGACTGCACAGTTGTTTCGGGTCCAGAGCTGTACCAAGCTCTCTGTGACTGCTCTGCTGGCAGAAAACCTTTCAGCCCATCATCCACTTTGTGTTTAAGTAAACAAGAAACTGTTACATCTTTGAAAGGGATTCCATTTCAGCACAATGATAAACGACCAGCATACCACGCAGGGAGAGAAAGAGGTTCTTAAAAGTCATCCTCTGAGTTGTTTATGGATCATGTTCAGACAGTTCCTCAGAGCCTCTGAGCTGAAAGATCTGATCCCACTGTTTTCTCACCTTTGAGAGAAGTATTTTGTTCATGCCACGGCGTCGCATGTAAGCAGAACCGTTTTCCCTTCTGCTTCCCACAGCACCCACCAGTCACCCTCTGGTGAGCCTCAGATCACTCGTAGGTGCCTCCCTGCTCCCTCCTGCTGCCCTGTCCCCATCCAGCTCTCAGCAAGGATTAGGGAAAACAGAGAGTGCATTAGGAAGGTTTCTCTCTTAATGACTGGATTCCCTGCAGTAACTCCTGGCACTATAAGCACAACTATTCCAAAACTAAACTGCATATAATAAATCAACAGAACCTACTTTAGAGAACTCTAGAGATTTTTAGAAGAACTGACATACTTCTTTCTGTTGTAGCCTTTTCCCTTCTTTCTTCCCTTTTCATAGCCAAATGGGGAGAAAAGGGGACAAAGACAATAGGAAGCTTAGAACGCATATTAAGAATATCCAAGATTTTTCAGTATGGGTGATTTTAAAGTTAAATTTAGAACAATTAGGAGTAAAATTATAAAAGATAAATCCAGTTCCTTTTCTTTTGTGAATCAGCTCAAGAACTGTGGTTGTTCCCACTCCAGAGCTGGGTCAGGCACAGTTTAGGAACGTGTCTGAAGTGCTCGCTGAGCTCACCAGCCCAAGATGTCCTTAGCTGGGTGATGTCACCTCAACTCACCCGCGGCGAACGTTCCTTTCCGCCCACCGACTCCTCTTGTGGTGTTCTCTCTGTGGCATCACTGTAAAATACGCGTCTTTAAACAAGTGCACCAATAAATGGGTTTGCTGAACCAGCTCCATGTGTTTATTCACCAAACCTGGACTCACATCCTAACACCCACAGCCCGAGGAACCCACTTGATCACGGGTGGGAACGTCGCTGCCCCGACCCTGCACGTGTTCCCACCCCATGCTGTGATCAGCTCCATGCTGAACTGCAGAAGCAGCTGCTGGATGGACAGACACACAGACAGGTCCTTTGTC